CTCGGCCACATCATCTGCTGCAGCTCCCTACGGCCCTGGCACCCGAGCAGGCCCTCAGCCCAATCACAGGGTCAGGCTTGGGTCTGAGGCCAGGGCTCCCAGGACAACCTCAGGGAGTCCTCAGGGGGCAGAATCATTATGCTCCTCTGAGGCTGGTCCCTGGCTCCCTCAAGGTGTTCTGCCTGCAGCGCATGGTCCTGCAGAGTCCCCTGGGCATAGTACACCAGGGGCTCTACCCCTGCCATTGGGTTAAATTATGGGACACCCTTGACCCTTAGAGGGTGAGTGTGGCTGAATGGGCCTGACCTAATCATGTGAAGCTTTAAATCTGGATCCAGCACTCAAGAAGGGAGATCCAGAGATCTGCAGCTCCAGACAGGCCTTTTTTCAAACACTGGTTGAAGAGGGAGGCTGTGTCAGGGAACATGGGAGACCTCAAGCTGAGCATGGCCCTGCAACAACCAGCAGGGACCGGGGACCTCAGTCCCCTGAAATTGGAACAACCGTATTCCCGGAGCCTCCATGTGAGAGACAGCTCAGCGGCCACCTCAATTTTGGCCTGGTGACACCCCAAGCAGAGAACCAGCTACGCTATGCTAGGCTTGTGACCTATAAAACTGCAAGATAAGCAGTGCTGTTTATGCTGCTGAGTCTGTGGGAATTTGTGAGGCAGCATTGGAAACAGACCAAGATGCGCCCAGCGAGAGCCAGCTGCCCACGGTCTCCAGGCAGAAGCCTTCTGGCCAGTGCTCGCTGTGTCCACAGGACCTGATCTTTTTCATGGGGCCCCTGCACACTTTTCTAGAATTGTTGAACTTGACCTTGAAGCCACCTTTACCCCATCATCAACCCTGGCGTGAATTCAGTCTGTGTATGTGAACGTGACGGCCACCAGAAGCCTCGTAGAAGCACGCCGCTCTGAGCAGGGTGAGGGAACGTGGGCTGCACCTGCCCAGTGCCCGCAGCATCCACCCTGCAGCCTCACTGCACACGGGTGCCGTTCCTCACACAGGCATGTCAGATGAGGTCGCACATCTCTGGAAACTTGCTCCTCACCTGAAACGTAGTCATGGTCGGGGACCCTCCACAAGTATGCAGGAAGCATCCACATTCCACAACTTGGACAAAGCAGGCCTTCTCTCCTGAACACAGCTTCTGTAGCTCTGAGGATTTTGTGTCTGTCTTGACTCTTTTTGTTTTCTTACTTTTTCCAATAAATTCAGTGCAGCCTCAGAATGAGTCAGTCATCCCAGGAAATTACCAGCAGGCACACAGAGTGTAAGGTCAGTAGAAACTACTGTTCTTTGTTTATGTGTTTCATTTTTTTTGGCTAATCCTCCATGATCAGTACTAACGGTGAAGACTGAGCTTGGACGACAGACCGCCAAAGTCAGCCAATGAAAGATTCATTTCACAAAGTAGAGCAGAAGAAGGGTCTGCAGAATGAGCTCTGGATACACCTGGTTATAGGAGCACAGAGAGGCCTCCATGCGGGGGGGAGTGAACCCACAGCCTGTTACCCCAGGTGGGGGGCAGGGCCCTGCAGGAGGCTGGGGGATGTCAGTCCTGAGGATAAAGTCTGCAGGGCTGTAGCCAATGTGCTCACACAGGAAAACCGCAGCAAGACCTCCATGGAATATCTTTGGGTATTTTGAGGAAGGGGCACCAAAGCAAAATCTAATAATTTATTTATTTATTTATTTTTTGTCTTTTTTGTCTTTTTCCGTGTCCGGCAACGGATCGCAACCCTCAGTGTTGCCCCCGTACCGGACCGGAGACCGGCGACGGGATTGCAACCCTCGGTGTTGCTCCCGCACCTCGCTCAGCCAGTGAGCGGGAACCGGTCTGTATGTGGGATCCGAACCCTCGGGCGGGAGCACCACCGCGCTTCCCAAGCGGCGCACTATCCAGTGCGCCACCGGGCTGGCCCCTAATAATTTATAAAGTCAGAGATCTACCAACACAGTGATGAAGCTAAAAAAAATAAAAAAAAAAAAACTTTTCATTAACCAAGAGTGTTAATATTTTACATAATGAAAGTAAATATTTAAGTTAATTAATACTGGCTTTTATAATTTATATCTAAAAAAATGCTTGTGGAAAGGGCAGAGGTTCTAATCAAACTATGAATGTTAGGGTTGGAAACACTAGCATTAACACCATTTTATTTTAAATGAGTATAATAGTACACTACTAGTAATTATCAACTAGTGAGATCATATGTCTGTGTAAGTAAAAATAGTTCTGGTTAAAAGAAAATTAAAAAGAGGAAATACAACCATATTAGAATATAAAGTGATAATTATAGCTCAACTAGCATTAATTAAGAATAAATTATTATAGTATAAACTGGTAATATTATATTAAATATAAATAAAGCAGGACAACAAAAGAAAAAAAGATATATTCAACTACATCAAATTTTAAAACTTTTGTGCATCAAAAGATACTACCAACAAACTAAAAAGGCAACCCAGGGAATGGGAGAAAATACTTGCAAATCATGTGTCTGATATGAGGTTAACATCCAGAATATATAACAAACCCCTACAATTCAGCCACAGCAACAAAAATCATCTTATTAAGTAATAGACCAGGCATCTGAATAAGCATTTGTATAGAAAATACACAAATGGGCAACAAGCAGGTGAAAAGATGCTCGACATCACTATCTTAGTGAAGTGCAAATCAAACCCATAAAAGTTATTACCTCATGCCCATCAAAATGGCCACTATCAAAATACCAGAAAATTTCAAGTCTTGGTGAGGGTGTAAAGAAATAGAAACCATTGGGCATTGTCAGTAGGATTGTAAAATGGTGCAGCCACTATGAAAAACAGTATTCAAGTTCCTCAAAAACATTAGACATAGAATTGCCACACGATCCAGCAATTCCACTTCTGGGTATAGACCCAAAGGAATTCAGAGCAGGGACTCAAAGAGATATTTGTACATCCATGTTCACAGCAGCACAACTCACAATAGCCACAGTGTGGAAACAACCCACGTGTCCATCAGTGGGTGAGTGGATAAACAAAACATAATCTATATACACAGTGGGATATTATTTAGGAATAGAAAGAAATAAAATTCTGACACATTCTACAACATGGAAGAACCTTGAGGACATTACGCTAAGTGAAATGAGCCAGTCACAAAAAGACAAGTACTGCAAGATTACACTCACCTGAGGTCTCAGAGGAGTCACCTTCGTAGAGACAGAACGTAGGACAGTGGGTGCGGGGCTAGGGGAGGGGAGGTGAAGAGCTGGCGTTTAGTGGGTGCAGAGTTTCCCTCTGGGCGGATGAAAACTGTCTGGAGGTGGATGCTGGTGACGGCTGCACGGCGATGTGAATGTGCTTTAGGCCACAGAACTATATACTTAAAAATGGGTAAAATGGTAATCATTTGCTTATGTATATTTTGCCACAATAAAAAAATGCCAAAAAATAAATGGCATTTTGTAACAATTAAAGGTGCTTACACGGTGATATTGGGAATAGGTGAATAAGCCAACACAGACCATGCAGTTTGGAGTCCATCACAAGAGGGGGTCTGTGCTGAGACTCCTGCCCTGTGCCACCATCTAGATGTCATTACTCAGTTTCCCCCGAGAGTAAGCAACAGGCAGAGATGATGCCCAAGTCCAGCTCACCCAGACCTGGTTGACAGGAAGATGATAAATCTCACAGTTTCTCCATCTTTTTTATCTTCTTTTTTAAAAACCGGTCGGCAATGAAAAGCTTAGTAGAATTAAGTATTAACATGCACTTCACAGGAAAGTTCTGTCATAGGAGAGAGTCAGACGTGGCGCGGCAGCTGCGGTCCCAGGACGTCAAGAGCTGTCTGTCCAGTCTGGTTTGCCGGTGGAGGTCGCAGCACCAGCTTGCCCTGAGACAGCAGTGGCTGAATCATGCCAATGCCCTCACAAGCTAGTGACACAGCACAGGTGCAGGAGGGACAGAAAGAGGGCGTTGATTCCCAGCAAGAGTTGTCCCTCTGAGGCTTCCTGGCTAGTCTATGCTGGTGACTGGTGTGTCACCTCCTCACCCATTTATCCCTCTTGTCATGACAACCCAGCAAGAGGGAGTTCCTTACATCAGGAGTTCCTCACAGCAGCAGGTGCCCGTGTCCTCCTAACACCCAACCAGCCCTCTGGTGTCGTTCCACCTTGATAGAACGCCACTCTTCCCCCCCGACAGCGTCCCTGCACGCTGCTCCCACAGCACCCACTCCCAGACGCCCTTCCGTGTGTCGCTGTGTTCACGTAGCCTGCCTTGCTTACAGCATCTTGGTTTGGGCCCCACTCCAGTCACAAAATGGAACATTTTAAACCATCATCAGAGTTCAGCAAGGCTAAAGGAAGGTATACAGGTTACCTAAATAATTACGTAATAAAAGACATGTGGTAAGTTGCATATCTTGTTAAAAGTCACAAAAGTTAGGCAAACAGAAACATTTTGTCCCAGAGAAAATGTGGGCATGTGACAGTTTATTAACCAGTCACAGACACAAGCCACTGACTCCCAGTGAAGTCTCCACCCAAAGGCCGAGTAACTGTGGTCATGGGGTGGAGGACAGGTCCTGACAGCTCTCAGGGCAGCGTCTGCATTTCCGGACATGCCATCCATGGGGAGACCCTTCAATTGGTGTCACTCAGACGCCCCTAAAGGAGCAGTAAAGGCTGTGCTCACTGGTCCATGTGAAGCCACATGGCCAGGACACCAGGCTTCACACTGCTGTGCAGAACACAAACTGATTGCACATGATGCTGTGCACATTTTTAATGAAAACTATTTTTTTCCTCAATTTTCTCACCATGCTGTGAAATTATTTCCCATTTAGATGCTTACTAAATGCGTGTCATATGCTTGAAAATGCACGACAGCCTGGCCAGGCACTTCTGGAGACTTTCTTGCTCCATGCTGCCTGTGACCTGAGCTGCTCCATGGGAATTACTGCAGTTGGCCCCCGAGGTGGTGCCACAGGAAGGGACCTACCAAGATGCTGTCCTCGCACCGGTACTGCTTCCAGTTCCTGCCACTGTCGCTGAACATCAGCAGGTAGCTGGTCACCCAGTTGGAGCTCCCGTACCCACCCTGCGTGGCCACTGCGGTGACCTCTGCCCTCTCTCCAAGATCGATCAGCAGCCACTGGTTCTTGTTTGATATGAGAGGTGTCCAGCCCCCAGCTCCTGTGTGTGGAGAAAGAAACAGGAAGGAGATGGGACAGAGAAGGACGCGTTAAAATCTCTCTTAAAGGAGGTGGATCACAGGTCAGAACGGACACTTATGTGCCTTTTAAAAAAATCATATTTCCAAAGCCCAGAATAAATGAGCTCATGATCATAAGCATCGCATTAAAGGACAGAACCTGAAGCGTTTGTGTTCTAGGTTGTGTGAGCACGTCACCTAGTCCAGGTGCCACTGCAGGGTCCAGGTTCTCGGCGTGATGGGTGGACACCCCCAGCAAAAGCCATCTACGCTTGGGGCCAGTGTCCCCGGCCCTGGTGCTTGGGTGGTCACCACTGAGCCCTTTGACACTGTGACTGAATGTGGGGGTGCACTGAGCTATGATGGAGCCGGTGTCCAGATCAAGCACCCCACTGCTGGTGCTCCATGCCCGGCAGTGGAGATGTAAGGACCCTCGGGATCAGCCCCTGCCTCAAGGACTTCACAGACTTAATGAAAGCAGGACTAGGAACTCAGGGTGTGTGAGCTACTGGTGAGGTCCACGTGGAGCCTGAAGACCAAAGGGGCGGTAGAAATGCCCCCCAGGAGGAGCAAACTGCATCTGCATGCCCCTGCAAGAGAGTGAGAGACAAGCTGCAGAACAGCTGAGAGCAAATGAGAAAGAGCAGGAGACCTGGGACAGAGCCCAGCCCCACACGGGGGACACCGGGGATGCAGCAGAGGACCACGGGGTGGGGAGTGCCCTGGCAAGGGTGGGTCCTCCTCAAAGTCCACCTGTTCAGGGCCAGACCCCGGGGTTCAGGAGCAGTGTGACTTACAGGCCAGTCTCCCAAATGCAGGGTTCCTGGAGCTGAAAAGGTGAAGGTGACAAAGGGCCCCGAAGACAAATCACCACAGGCCTGAGGGCCGCAGCTCTCTCAGCCCCACATAAACACCAACAACACAAGCCACAGGGCAGTCCTGCCAGGCTCACAAAACACCCAACGCCACCAAAATAAATAAGGGAAGAGCAAAATTCATACAGAATTGTTGCAGAAAATCAGGAAGCAAATGTCCACAAAAATCAGCTGAGGGAAATTCCTACCCCCCAAAATAGCCACGAGGCAGAAGGAAATCATAAGTCGACACTCCATGAAAAATGAAAGATCCTTAAATGAGCCTGTGAAGATCCGAAAAGCCACCTCGAATCAGAAATGGACAAAAACTGAAACCATACATGGATGAAAAATAGAGTAATGAAAAAAGAATCGACTAAACTCAGGAAAGAAATGGAAGAAAAAGAAAAAATTATCTTCAAAAAGAGGGATAAACACCATTGTAGGTCTACCACGGTGACCAGAGTCCAGAACGCTGACACCAGCACATGCTGGCGAGGACACGGAGCAGCAGACTCTCAGTCACTTCTGGGGACCACAGGATGGTGCAGCCAACTTGGACGGTGGTTTCTCACAAAACTAAACACTCTTCCCATTCAATTCCACGATCCTCCTCCTCGGTGTTTACTTAAAGGAGTTGAGAATTTATGTCCATGCAAAAAACTGTACATGAATGTCTGTAACAGCTGCAATCATAAGAGCCCACATTTGGAAACAACCAACTCTATGACCCTCTGAAAAGACAAAACTATGAAAATAGCAACAACAACAACAAAAATGTTGGTGGGAGTTGGGGGCAGGAAGGGATGGGAAGGTGGAGCACGGAGAATCTCGAGGCATCGAAACGATTGTGTACGATGCTGTCATGGGGCATACATGTCATTACACACGTGTCCAAATGTATAGATTGTACAACACCAAGGTAAAACCCAGTGTAAACTACAGACGTGAGTGAAGAGTAATGTATCGATGCTCTTTCATCAACTGTAATACGTGTGCCACACTAGTGCGAGACACCCATGACAGGAGAATGTGTGTGTGTGTGTCGGCGGGAGGCTGACAGGCTCACGGGGGCTCTCTGCACTTGCTGCTCAGTTTCACTATAAACTTAGAACTGCTCTAACAGGAGCCTATTACTTTTTAAAAAAGAATGCATTGAAAGGTGCCCCAGAGAGGACAGACTCGAGTCACAAATGGAAGTGTCATAAGGAACACCAAAGAGAGGTGGGAAATTACCACCAGAAGGAAAATGACACACAAAGTACCACGTCAGGAAAAAGCCGTGGTCATGGAAGACAGGAAAAGAAGGAACCATTTCATGTAGAATCTCTGAGAAGAAAAACAAGAAGGTGGAAGAGAGCTCATACTTCAAACTATAATAATAATGAAAACTTTCCAGAAATAGAAAGAGGACCTCACCAGACAGTACTATAAAATCTCTATAATAACAAAATTGTGGTGCATGAACAAAAATACCAGAAATAGACCCAAACACGGGTGAAAATTTAGCATATGACAGCGATGGAGTCTCTAAGCTCTGGGATAAAAACAAACGTTTCAGTAGATTGTCCTGGGACAACTGAGTAGTCATTTGTAAAAGGAATAACTAAATTTCCATTTCAGGCCATGCACAGGAATAAGCTCAAAGGGGATCAGGGATCTAAGAGTAAAAAGTGAAACCATATCGTTTCTAGAAGACATTGGCAAACTCTAACTTCTAACTGTGACTCAAAATCCAGAGGTGATAAAGAAAAGCTTGATAGATTCGACTAGTAAACAAGTTTTAAATGCATGATAAACAAACACCAGAGCAAGTCAAAAGACAACAAACAGAGAACACATTTATTACAATCGAGGGCACATCAAAAAGTTTGTGGAAAGATTCGTATTACCTTTCAATTCCATTTTCTCACAGACTTTCTGGGGCGCCTCGTAAATGGCACACACAGTGCTACTATGCAGAAGAGGATCGAGTCGACGCTGCTACGTCCATACAACCGAGTCCCAAGTGGCTTGAAAAAGAGTGAGACGATCCCCGTGAAGGGATAGGGACTGCTTCTAGGGTACACTATTAGGTGACAGTGAAGCCCCAGGAGGGTCTGTGGCATGTGACCCTTTGTGAGAGAAAGGAGGAGACTGAGAAAAAGCACACCAACTGTGCTCATTTGTGGAAAGACAGAGGACGGTAAGAGATGCCACAGAGAGGGGCCACCCGCCATCTCTGCGGGGCTGGGCGTGCAATTCTGAAACTAGAATTGCACAGGTAAATCTGCACAGGTGAGGACAGCCAGCTTTCTCGACCTTAGGGACACTGAGGGAGGCCAGGTGCACCCGGGGGTGTTGAACTGACTTCATGTGCAGACAGACAGATGCAGAAGCGTGGACGCGCATGTGCTTAGGGTCCACACGTAAGTTTCCTGGGTCCAACTGCTGAGAGGCCCTACAAGCACGATGCCCCAGTAGCAAGGAGCACAACTGGCACCCAGATCTTAGTTTCTAAATACCAGTCTCCAGCCTAAGGGACCTGAAATCCTTGAAGGTTGGTTCCCGGGCTGAGGCAGGAAAATACAAGATGAGCTCAGAGCATCTAGTGTGCCAAAAAGCGAGGAAGAGCCCCTCAAAAGAAGGGGGTAATTGTCAAAAGAATGCAGCAAAGAACTCGTCCCACGCTGCAGCAGCTGAAGCAACAAAATTAAAGAATGGATTTTATGCCATCGAGTAACATAGATCTTTATGTGTCCATAGGATACAAGTAAACAAATAGTCAACTAACATGCGGGGAAGGGGCAACTCCTCTGCACAGGAGAACCCGCTGATGAGAGAGTCAGTGTGAGACTGGGATGGAGGTAAAGCCAGAGGGTGGAGGTCTGGGGAGAAACAGCCCCAGCCTGTCTCCGAGCATCTTTGTCGGGGACCAGGTCGACATCGCCATTACCAGACAAAACCTCATCATGAATGAAGCCACCGCAGCAGGACACACAGAGAGGGCTCAACGGGATTTCTGTGGGGCTCTTGCCCCAAATCCATAACCTCACCCCGTCACGAGAAAACAGGGCACAGTTTGAACTGAGGAATATTCTGCAAAATATATGTTTTTTCAGTTTTTTAAAAGTTCCAAAGTGGTCACAGGCACATAGGTCTTTGATTGTTGCCATTTTCAGTCTCTAAGGGCTGGGGAAGTTGCTAGAATTGTGTCACGTATTTGTCAATTACTAAAGGAGTGGCAGGACCCACCGTGTGCTGGGGCAGTCTGGACACGCACACATGTGCTCTCTTAACTCTTAAAGGTTCCCAGAGGGGCTCCTCAGAAAGTTCAACGTGCAATGATCACATGGCCCAGCAATCCCACTCCTAGGTATGGATCCAGGGACTCGAAAACAGGTTCTCAAACATCTGTGCATGAACGTTCATGAAACATTGTTCATCGTAGCCACAGAGTGGACACAGCCCAATGTTCGACAACTGATGAACAGACAGACAAACTGCGGTCCATCCACACAACACAATAATACTCCTCCATGTAAAGGAATGAAGTTCTCACATGCGCTCTAACGTGGACAAACCTCAGAATGTTATACGAAGTGAAGGAAGCCAGACACAAAAGGTCACGTGTCGTATGACTCTTTGTAGGTGGAGTATGCAGAACAGGTAAATTCTTAGGGACAGAGAGCAGATTGGGGGAGGCTGGGCTGGGGCAGAGGGCAGGAGAGACGCCAGTGGGCGAGGAAGTTCCTCTTGGAGTGACGAAAATGTTCTGGAGCTAGACAGAGGTGGTGATTGCACGGCATTGTGGAGGTGCTAAATGCTACCAAATTTTGCACCTTAAAATAGTTAATTTTTGTCTTTTGTGAATTTTACTTAAACTTTAAAAAGTATCTAGAGGACGTGCGTATCTTCCTCTACAGATGAGATCGTGGAGACCCAGAAAGTAAACTGGACCAATATCCTGCCGTTAGTGGTTGTGCGATTTTTAAATAAAATCTTCAAAATTTATTTGAGCATATTATTTTAAAAGTCAGCTCTTTTTTCCCCCACCTTTTAGCCTACTTTAAATTCACTCCTAGCAGATCGTCTCCTTCCAGGGATGTATCTACATAACTAATTGGTTATGCACGGAGTCCTGGCTG